GTGTGTGTGTGTGTGTGTGGCCAGCTCAGCCCACCAGGGGGCGGGGCTGGCTGGCATGTGGTGCTGGGGGATTGTACGCGGTCCCTGTGCTTTGCTGAGCTTGTTCGAAGTAGGTGCTTTAGACCACTGAGCCATCTCTCCAGCCCCGAGACATTACTTTTAGAAGCTGCACAGCAACCAGTGCCTTAAATTTAATTATGTGGTCAGGGACAAAACTGTTTCCACACAGAGGTGGCATTAAAACTAGGTGGCACCTGAACGTCCTCATCCAAAGTGATTGCGGCAACTTCTTTCCAACATGTTATTAAATAAGAAAGACAAGGTCTGAGTTTTCTCTCTAGTATAAACTGATAAATTCAGTAGGTGAAATTTCCTTATTGTCTCTGATTGTATAAAATATGGAGTCCCACTTTGGGGTAAGGTAGTTAACTGTGGATTGTCTTTCCTGTCATTTTACAGCTGGGTGCCAGATCAGGATAAGGCTGCGGAGGAAATCCACTTACTCCACAGTCTTTCCACCATCAAAGAGATTCCTTTTTCCCTACAGATCTGCAACCAGGCTGTACAAATGCATGGAGGCTATGGCTACCTGAAAGATTATGCTGTTCAGCAGTACATGCGGGACTCCAGAGTCCACCAAATTCTAGAAGGTAAGATTTTCCAAAGGCTCTTTCAGACAGGACAGTTCCAAGATAATTGCTTTTCTTGCCTGCTGTGTCTTTCTGCTGGCTAGGCTTTGGGTCCCATCAGGCCGTCTGCTGGCTTTCCCTTGCTTCCTGTCCCTAACCCTTCTCTAGAAGTGGCCTGCTGCAGCGTTAAAAAGAGCACTAGCCTGGGAGCAAGCAGAGTCTGCTTTGTTTCCATGAGGAAGGCATCATGTTACTTCACTTCTTCTTTGTGGTTGAGAGTCCAAACTGAGATAGCAAATGGGAAATCTTGTTAAACTATAGCAGTGGCTGTTCTTTATTGTTATCAAGGACCTGGTGTCAAGTATCTCAGAAGTTCTAGATAGTACCTGCCAAAACAGATATAAGCCAGCACAAGTACTAGCAGTTCTATGGATTTATTATAAGCACCATGCGCTAGATGATTTCTGTGTTAGTATTGTTAGCAGATTTTTTTTTAAATGTCTCTAGTACAGGGTCTACAGGGTGTTACTACACAGATCCGATTCATAGTGATCCTCCTGTTTTCAGCCTCCCCTGTGCTGGGATTATAGGCACGCCACCACACCCAGTCTGTCACCCCTCAGTGTGCCCTGGGGGTGGGGCTGCCACTGCATTCCAGGGATTGAACCCTGGTCCCTGTGCCTGCCTAAGCAGGCACTTTAGTCTGCTGAGCTATCTGATTGGCCCTGCTAGCAGATTTTTCAATAAAATAAAAAATCAGTATATGAGTACTTCCTTGTAAAATGCATAAACCATTGGAGTTAGGCTCAGAATATGGCCTTCTTGGAAAAAGATGTATTTATGTTTATGTACAGGATAGCTTGGGTAGTTGTATTGCTGGTTTCTGCTGGTCTGTTGAAAGGAGCAGTTAATGTTTACATTTTTTCTTTTTAATTTCTTTTAACTTTTTTTAAACCAATTTTACATGTTTATATCTGGTAATCTAAACAACTAATTTGAATATAACATTATATAATACGACAACCATTGTTGAATTCTTATTTGTTTAGTGAAATTCTGTATCATTTTTTTTTTAACCATTTTGTATTCTTTTTAAAAAATTATAATAATAAAAAAAGAATATGGCCTTCTATTCTCTACTCTTCAGCCAGTCTTGAAATAACAGGAGTCTTGTTGGTAGCTGCTGATATTATTTGGGGCTTTTATACTTTAGGAAAAGTAGGTGCAGGAGAGGCTTCTCTAAGTGACTTTCCAGTGAAGCAAGTATGGTGCTGCTTTAATGGGGACATAGGAGAAACCTTGGAACATTGACTTCCCAGCCTCTTTCAAAGCATTCTTCTCAAACTTGTGTAAATAGCAGAAGCCCCTAGAGGGCTTAAGACAGGGTACTGGGCTCTGCCCTCAGAGATTTTGTTTCAGTGTGCCTAACTTGGAACTGAAATTAGGATTTCTAACAAATTTTTAAATGAGTCTGCTGTTGCTTGTTTGGGGTAGTCACTTACTGAACCCCATTCCTTTGGTGTTATGTCTAAATCATAGGATCCTAAGATTTAGTCTGCTGTGTTGTACTGTCAGCCTTACCTTAAATATATACTTACTGCCTTTAATCTCTCATGTTCAGATTAATTTTTTAGAATTTTGTGGCTATGGGAAACTATTTTCATGCTAACACTGTCTTTTACTTTGGCTCTATTAAATGGGAAACCAAATACATTATCTTGGGTCATGTTCTCATCTACTAGTAGAATTGGGGTGCTAGTCACTGTATCACTGTTTTATTGTGGACTGTTAGCTAATTTTGAAATTTTAAAGTCTGCAAAGTGCAAAGGATCTTTTTTTTTTGCATTGTAGATCATTGCTAAAAATGAAGTGAACAATTCATCCCTTGAACTTTTCCTTTTAGGGAAAATATTTTGTTTTAAGGTTAAGGTTTTTTTTGGGGGGGGGAGATGACTCAGTGGAATAAGCGCTTCCCTGGTAAGCGCAAGGGCCTGAGTTCAATCCCCAGTTCCAGGGGTTAAAAAAAAATTGAAAATAAAGTTAAGTTTTCTGATTATCAAAGAAACATATAAAATGTGGGGGGAATTGGTCTGTTTTCTTATTTTTTTAATTTGTCGGCCAGAAATTGAACCTAGGGCCATGTACATCCATGCCAATCAAGTACTATATCACTGAACTATACCCCCAACGCTATACTACTTTTATATATATTTTGTTTGTTTGTTTTTGTAAGCCTGTAGTTTTGGGTTTGTGGTTTTTTTTTACAATTAAAGTTTTTTTTTAATTTTAATTTTTTTATGTATTTAGTGTGGCGTCTACAGGGTCTCACTACATAGCTTGGACTCAGTGATCCTTCTGTTTTCAGCCTCCCCTGTGCTGAGATTACAGGTGTGTACCCCCATGCTCAGTCTCAGTGGCCAGCTCAGCACAGCCGGGGGCAGGGCCACTACATGGGATGCCAAGAATTGAACCCTAGTCCCTATGTCTGCCTAACCAGGTGCTTAGTCCACTGTGCTATCTCATTGTGCTGACCTATAGTTTTTTAGGTTAGTGTTATACTACTTTTAGTCTGCCTTTTTTTTTTTTTTTTTTTTTTCCTCCTCTTGCTTCTAGGAAGGAAGCTCTTCCTTTCCCAAATTCTTATTTTATTTATGTCGTTTTGAAACAGTGTTTCAGTGTGCAGTCCAGGCAGGCCTTGAACTCACTTTGTAGCCCAGGCTGGCCTCAAACTCAGTGATTATGCCTCAGACTCCCCAGTGTCCGGATTACAGGCGTGTGCCACTATGCTTGACCCTCTTCCCAAATTCTGAAGTAGAAAAAAGAAGCTGAGTCAGTTCCAAGCCAAGGTACAAAAGCCACCTGGGCCAAGCAAGTCGGAGCCTGGACTCCTGACAGAGATAGCTGAACACTTGTTTTCCAGACAGTTGTAACTGTATTTCAATCTTTTCAAAACAGCCCTTGGGCTCCAGGCTCAAGTGCGCCTCTGGGCTGGGTCCACTGCTCCAAATGAGGAATAGGGAGCCTCATACCCTGCTTAGGTTACTCATTCACCAACAGTGAGCCCCAGGACAGAAGATGCAACAAAACAGGACCTCTTCCACCACAGCAAGTGTAGATTTCAGCTGTGGCATGATGGGAAACAATGGAACTCTTCCTTGAAACTGGGCTGTGCTGAGAGGTGCCTGTCATGCTGATTTATATACTTCCTTCCAGTCTCTGGAAGCAGAAAAATTACCTTCTCTGAAGACACTTGGTAACAGTTTCAAGTACAAAAACATGCTTCAAGGCACTGTTTTCTGTTTTTCTGGAACTAATTCAATTGGCGGATGAGCTGGTTGATGCACTCACCCTGACAGCCAGGTGAGCCCATCTCCTTGAGGAAGCCCACTCTGTTCTTGGTAGCATGCCGGGCCACAGACAGGTAGAAAGGGCTCAAGAAGCAGATGATCGCCTAGAAATACTCCCCTAGGAAGGTGATTTCATTAATGAAATCTTCCAGGCAAATGACACCAGACTTGCCCAGGTGCTCCTCCATCAGTGTTGTCCATCAGCAGAAAGGTATTATTGTTGTTGTTGTTGTTGTTGTTGTTGTTATTATTATTATTATTATTATTTTAGCGGAACCAGGGATTGAACTCAGGCCCTTGCGCTTGCCAGGGAAGCGCTTATTCCCCTGAGCCATCTCCCCGGCCCCAGGTCTTATTCTTGACCTTGCCCTGTCCACATTTCAAAATGAGTTCCCGGACAGACTTCAGATCTGGGAATCCCCAGGTCACCTAAGGTCCCACTATCCACAGCATTTTGTGAGTTTGAGGGGTGAGTTTAACAAAGACATGACTGAACAACTTCTTTAGGCAAAGTCTTGCAGTGGTCTTCTGTACTAGTGAACTCACCCCATTAATACTTTGGAGGCAGACAACAAAGGCCAAGGAATGTTCACAGGTACTTCCAAAGTGCAAGGTTTTATTTCTAGTTGTTTCACATGCACCCCGCCATGCTGCTACCGCCGTCGCCGTCAGGAATCATGAAGGAAAGATTCTAGTCGCTTAAATCTGATGTCTTTTACTTTCTTCTCTTTCTTTGCCAGAAGTGCCTGCTTTGCCTGGGTGGCTTTGAGGGCTTGATAAGCCTTCCTCGAAGATCTTTTTTCTTTGTTCTTCTTCTGCCGTTTTTCCAGAGTAAGGGCTGCTCTAGTCTGCCTTTTTTTTTAATGCAAGCATTTTTATCAAAGACTTTTTTATATAGTATTTTTTTTTTAATTTAAAAGAAGTGCTTTATTTTAGCTGGTACCCAGCGGCAACACCTGGCACAAAGTGCCTAAGTGTGCGCCAAGCATTGACAAGGATCAATATTTAAGCTTGAAAACCGCAAAAATAGGGAAGGGGTGGAGAGGAAGAAGTGGCAGGGTCATTAGTTCCTTGGGTGGACCTACTAGATGGGGTGCTGAGTTGGCAATCATGGGGTACAGCGGGTCATTAGTTCATTGGGTGGTCCTGTTGGGTGGGGGTGCTGAGTTGGCAGTCACACAGTTCATTAAGATAAGAAAGTTTGGGATACAGATGTCATAAGACTTGGGTCACAGGGTTGAGGAGTTGTGAGAGGTAGGCGCACACAGAACAGGAACTCGGCGAGGAATATATAGTATTTTTCATTCTGTCATTTTTCTGTACTTTAGAGGGGAGTCTGCAGTAGTCCCATTACTCCCAGGAATAAAAGCATCAGTTCTAGTTTAAATCTACAACTACTTTGCTGCTATTAAATTGTTCCTTTTTGCACCCTCTTTCAGGTACCAATGAGGTGATGAGGTTGCTGATCTCTCGAAGCCTGCTTCAGGAGTAGCACCCTTGCTTGATATATGGACTCGTGGGTTCCAGATGAATCATGGATGGGATTGAAGAGCTGAGCTCTTCAGAGGTAGGCGGCAGATGTTGGTGGCAGTGTTGTACTTGATTCTCACACTGGAGCAGAATTCTCAGTAGAATTGGAAGAGGTGCCCTGATTAGAAATGTCACAAGAAGACCTACCAGCACCTTCCTGATGCTAATGCTGGAAAACAGCCAGTGACTATTCAGAGCGAAAATGCTTTATCTTAGACCTTCATTGTCCTGGTTTGTCTGCATTTTGTTGGATCACTGGATTCCTCTAGGGCCTGGGTACTTCTGTTGAAACTTTCTCTGGTTCTAGATCAAAGGTGAGGGGAAAGAAAAACACCCTCCTATGTCTTGTGTTCTCTGTACAGAGTCAGTATATCTGGATAGCACACCTCTTGATATAAATCATGATTAAATGAGTCTTTAGGACAACTAAGTTATGATTTAGGGTGTATCTCTTCTTCTGGACTACCTGAACATCAAGGAATGAAATTATTTGGAAATTGGAATATTGGATAGAGCTTTTGCTTTTTGAGAAGCTTATGGTCTAAGGATGATAACCAAGGCTTTTGTAATCTTCTTGAGAAGTACTCAATATACTAAGTATATTTCCTTTTTTTAGAGTTTCTTTTCTTTTTAAATGTTTTTGATCACTGCATTAATAAAGCCTGCTCTTTTTTCTATTGTCTCCATGTCTACTAAAGTTAGCCTTTATCTCTTTAAGCCTTTACAACTTTTTTTAAAGATTTTCAGTGTATTAGATTAAACATTTAGCTGGATTTTGGAGTAACAATTAAAAATATCTCGTAGGCCAATTTTTGTCTTTTTTTAAAAAGTATGCTCCTGAAGTTATGAATAATTTTGAAAGCTAAATATTGTTTATGCTATATAAGAGTAAATTTAAAATAATATTTAAAGACAAAGACTTTAGAGACTTTTAAGATTTTATAGAAAATACAGTGTTGTAGTAGGCACATTGGTGTATATCTATAATCTCAGCTCCTTGAGAGGCTGATGTGGGAAGATTACAAGTTTTAGTCTGGGGAACCCAGTGAGACCTTATCTTAAAAGTAAAAAATTTGAGAGTATAGTGCAGTGCTCCTTGGGTTCAATCCTCAGTACACCAAAGAGACAGAGAAAGACAGGGAGGGAGGGAGAGAAAGTATCTGTAGCTATCTAAAGAAAGAAAACTTTCTTTGAACACATATTCTGGGGATGGAACCATGTTGAATACTGCAGGGGACAGAGTGTAAGTGGAGTATACTACAAAGTTTAAAATACGATTCTATCATCTAAGGCTACCTTTGCTATAGGAGTTGAGATATAGTACATGGGAAAGACACAGCAGCTTAAGATTGAGAGGTCATAGAGAAATTAGGAACTCAATTTAAGCTTTCATTAAAATGTATAATAGTTAAAGATAACCAAGAAATTAAATTTCAGACAGCAAAGAGCCAAAGTCAGGAAATGTACCAGACTTGTATGGGAGCTATTGATACTTTTGCTTATTGTGGTTTGGGGTTAGCTGGGTTAGAAGAAAATTGCAAGTTGAAAGATGGAAAAATGAAAGCCAAGGATGAGGTTTTATTTGGTAAGTAGAGGAGAGCAGTGGAGAGTATTTACTGAGGAAAATGTGAGATTAGTCCATTTATAAGAACAGTCTGGAGCATACATGTAGGATGGATATGGGTGGAAAGAATGTAAGTCATACCTAGTCCAGGAGAGTCTTGAAATAGTCAAGGTATGAAACAATTTGAGCCCCACCTTGGAAAGTAACAGGAAAGAGCCATTGTCGATGACAATCACGTAGTACTTAGAATATTCACTATGAAACTCGAAGCCCTCCCACCTACTCTCTGACACTCTAGTTCTGAAAATCTTCTATTCTGTCTCAAACAAAAACAGTGCAGTGTTGCCATTTTTCTATGTGTTTTCCTTGTAAGGTCAAAACACAAACAAACAAAAAAACAGTTACTAAAAATACATTTCTGGGGGCTGGTGAGATGGCTCAGTGGTCTAAAGCACCTACTTAGAACAAGCTTAGCAAAGCACAGGGACCACGGTTCAATCCCCCAGCACCACATGCCAGCCAGCCCCGCCCCCTAGTGGGCTGAGCTGGCCACACACAGACACAGACACAGACACAGACACACACACACACACACACACACACACACACACATAAATAAAATTTAAAAAATAAATAAATAAAAATACATTTCTCTGGGCTGAAGATGTATCTAAGTGTCACAGCATTTGCCTGGCATGTGAGAAGCCCTGGGTTTGCTATCCAGGAGGAAGGGATACTTCTCACTATCACCCTCAAATATAGTCAGAGATTGCAGGTTTCAGTACTCTTGAGAGAGATACGACATCTGTAGCAAGTAAACATAGTGAACTTTTTAAGCTAATTTCTATTGTTTATTTGGCTGTATAATAAAAAACAAAACAAAAAAAAACAATAAACATAAGAAAAACTTATGTGGGAATACCACATTAGTTCCAGGATGTACTCTAATGACCAAATACATTAGTCATTAGGTTGGACAGAACTTACAGATTAAAAGGCGGACAAGTAAGAAGCAGTTTCAACACATAGTGGGGAGAACATAGACATGGATATAGTGCCTGAGCAGGAAGCATTATAATAGGATGACCTAAGCACAAAGCCCAGGTTTTCCTTCGCCACCTCCATTCCCTAGGATTGAAACAGGGCAGATTTCAGGAATTCCCTGTGTCTCCTTCATAGCATTGTTACAATAAATGCCTGACCAGAGGTTAAAGCCTTCCAAACTGGATGATCTGACAGTGTTATTATACTGCCTCCTCACCTCTACAAACAATATTTAACTATATAAAAAGGTCTTATATGCAAGAAGCTGGATTTATTCTGCAATAACTTTACAAGCAAAAAAAACAAAATTGGACCTTTCTTTTTATACCATACACAAAAATCTAAATGAATAAAAGAACTAAACTGAACTGGATCAAAGACTTAAATTAAGATCTGACTGTATGAAACTCATTAAAGAATGCTTCATGACACTGACCCTTGCAATGATTTCATAGGTATGACCTCAAAAGCACAGGTAGCAAAAGCAGAGACAAATGGGTCTACATTAAACTTGTGAATAGCTTCAGCATAGCAAAGAAAACAGTGATAAGTCAGTCTACAAATTGGAAAATATTTGTATAACTTATAGAAAGGTAATTTCTAAAATATGTAAGGAACTCATTTGCATGAAAGTGTCAGCCAAGAGAGGTGACAGGGCTTACATGAAGGCAAGGTAAAGAAGAAATGGAAGCACCCATCAAAGGGAGTAGAAGGCAGTGGTGCTAAGAAAGAATGACTCGTATTGGGAAAAAAGGGGAAATCGGGAAAATGAGAAAAAGACACAGCCCTGCACTGCCATAAGGAGGGAGGAACAAAACACCAGGGCCCTAAACCAGTTAGTCACTAAAAGTATAGGTTTTGTTTTCTTCAGAGGCAGTCAGGGACTTGCAAGCAGTTTTTGCTAAAAAATAATGACTCCTCACTTGGGCCTACAGATGTCCAGTAGGTAATTAACTAAAAATAGAACAAAGCTTAACCTGTATTTTTTTATCTGTGTCCTTAGAACTTGGGTTCCCATTGTTGTTCAGCTCTGCATATGGGCATATTAATCAGTTAGTGTCTATCTAAACATTGAAAAAGCAAGGTTGATTAGGCTTTGATGGCTTTTCAAGGCTGAGGACACCAAGATCAGAGATTTACAGGGACATTCAACTGCCACTGAGTGCCAGAGTGAATTTTCTGTCCTTACTCTAAAGCTAAGGTCATCTTGAATTCCAGGAGAACCTTCACAAGACTGAGCCTACCCTATGCAGAGACAGTCATTTCGTACAGACTGAATTTACCCCCAGAAACAGTAAAGACAAGCTTGCAAAATCAGAGCTGAGATGAGGATCAACCTGTTTCTAGCCTACCTCTGCAATTCCATAAGGGCTGGCCTCATTCTCTTGTAAGTGAGCCGGTGTGATCCTCTTTATCAGAACTGAAGAAGGTGAAGTCCTTTCATGTTTTCTGTTTTTTAACTCTACCTCACAGATTTGCCTATGCCTCACACAAATGCATTCTGAAAATCTTTTTCTGGGATGTTGAATTACCTACTCCACAGGGCAAGTTGAAGTCTCCATCTCTTCCTTGGGCCTTTTTTGAAACCAGTCTGGTAATAAAAAAGTAGCAGTTTATTCTAAATTTTCCCTAGGCCAAGAGGATATTCATCTTAGATGGGACATCTGTTGAACTGTAGAGTGGACAATTGGTAGATGGATTTGACATTTAGGGAAGAGTAAGGCTTCTCATGTCATGGCTTCTTCCATCCTACACTGACCACACTACCACTCTTTTGTATTTATGCTGAAATATTTTTATTGCTACTAGAACTTCCACTTATTTTTCCTTGCTCCTGAATACAGTTATACAATTTTTGTTAGTTTAGTTTTTTAGTTTTTGGTTGTGGTGGTAGTGGTGGTGTTTTGTGAAGATCAAACCCAGAGCTCTGAGCATGGTAGAAAACCACTTCACCACTGAGTTATACACTCACCCCAATATAATTTTTGTGGTCTTCTAGATTTAAATGCATTCTCTTTGCCCTCCCTCACAGAGTTTTTGCTATTTGCCCTGTTTACTGAATTTGCTGTGTATACAAGTCCCTAGATTTTTTGGAGCAATGTATTTAATGTATCACAGTCAGGGAAATGCGGAAGTTCTAACCGTTTCCAAAACCAACATCTCTTGCAGAGTTGAAAGGGCAGTCCAAAGTGGTGCAGGAGACTTTTTTAACAGAAAAAATTAGTGTTAGGGCAACGCAGGGAGAGAGAATCAAAACTTGGTCACTAAAGTTGAGATTAGAAATGCCATAAGGATAGAGTGGTTAGGTAAAATACAAGATTCCCTTGCCATATTTGAAGCGTAGTCACACTAAAAAAGTATTTGTTGTTTATTAAGTTTTTAATTTAACTAGACATCTTGTATTTTTATTTGCTAAATCTGCCAACCCTTCCCATGGAACATCTACTCCTATGCTTTTTCTTGCTTATGCTACAAATGAATATTCTAACATTTTCTTGAAAATTCGTTTGGTCATAGGATATCAGGCACAGGAAAGTTCTGAGAGACCCCATGATCCTTCTTTTCTTTCCTGTACCCTCAGGACTTTTCTTTCTTTCTTTCTTTCTTTCT